TCCCCCAGAGCCCTCTTTGTATATACTCCAGCCACCCCTCAGCCACCTTAGGACTTCCGCCTGCCTGGTCTGTATGCCCCGAGACAGAACCAGATGTCCCGTGGTACAGGTTAGGCTTTTACACTTTCCTGAGGCTCTTTCAAGCAGGAGGAACAGAAGAAAACCGGCCCTCTGGGAAGGACCCCTGGGAGAGAAGGAGCTGGCCTCTGCCCCAGTGCCAAGGGGCTCTCCTTACCGTTGGAGAGGAGCTGATCCTCTCTGACCTCCTCAAACAGAGTCACGTCTCCATAGCCCTCTCTCTGTTTCTCCTCAAACAGCCTGTAGCAGGAGCTGGGGCTGGCCAGGAGCAGCCGGAAGCCCTGGAAAGAGAACTAGGGTCAGATGCGAGCTAGCTTCCTCTCCAGAAGCTTCCAAGGGGCTTTAAAAGGTGGGAGGCCCCCCTGTCCACCCCTACCCCCACCCCCACCAGACCTTTTCGCCCTCACTCTTGTCCTGTGTGGGGATAAAGCACATGAACTCGTCTATGTGGCCGACCATCAGCCAATCCGAGAAGAGCTCCACCGGGGCCTGGACTCGTTGGGCGTAGAGGAAGTCCCGGAGGGCCTTACTCATGTCTCGGCCCTCCTTGCTGAGGGGAAGACGGAAGGAACGGGCCCCTGAGCCAACATGGTGTGGTTTAGGCCACCACCTACTCCCCTTGGGCTATGGTAGTTGCTCAGTTAGGACCTGGTCTACATGCCCCCCACCCCACTTTTGGGGGAGGGGCCTTCACACCCTTGGCCCATGCCTCTACATGGTCATTCTGCTTTCTCAGGTTCTCATCAGCCATCAGGCTCCCCTTCTGCTAACTGGCTGCCCTAACCATTGGGCTCAAGTGACCGGTCCATAAACAATGGGCTAAGAATCTCTTACTCCGGCCCAACTCAGGACCGACGCCAGAGGATTCAAGCTCAAGAAATTCTGACCCCTGGGACACAAGCATCTCCTGGATGTCGATTCACGGCCACCAAGAAGTCCACACCTCTTGTGGGAGGAAGCTTCTAGAGGTCACTAGGCCAACCAAATTCAGCATCCTTCTAATTTAAACCCTGGAGTCAAAAGGATGAAGTTTGTCTGCTTTTTCTACCCGGGGTCTCCTAGGACAACCAAAGGCTCAAAAGTCCTTTCTGGGCAGTGTTAAGAATGTCCCCGAGCAGATGATCTGCCGAGTCGTGTGGAAGTTCCCTACCAAGAGGCCACCTCCTGGCCTCGTGCCTCACCTGGGGTAAAAGCAGCTGCCAATGAGGATCCTGCCTAGGGGGTATTCTTTCCCTCCCACCTTGACCGGTGGGGACACCATCAGGTTCCCAATGGAATCCATGCTGGCCACCCTGTGGTCCTGGGTGCACTGGATCACGTAACCGACCCCCGGGCTCTGGAAGGAGACCCAGTGGGGCAGGGGTGTTAGGAAGGACGGGCTTTAGGCCCCAGTCTTACCCCTAATCCAGACTTCCGGGTAGATTCCCACCTCCCCGCCCCTTCCCCAGGAGGCCACTTGGGACCTCCCCCTCGGCACCCCATCACTTCCCGGCAGCCGCCAGGGCCGACAGGTCGGACCGAGTTCAGATCAGCCAAACTGAGCCCCACACCAGTGAGTATTTCATGGGGAAATCTTCCAGCGTGAGGGCCCGAGGGGTGTCCAGGACAAAGGAGAGCGTCTTGTGGGGAGCCTGGGTGTAACAGAAGGCCATCTCGTCCTGGAGGAGACGGGAAGAGGAGTTGAGTTCTCCCTGCTCCGTCGGCCAGTTTTCCTGACTGTGTTATTGGCCCGCCAGTCACGATGCTTCCCGCACCCAGGCCACCTCTAAGAAGGGGCACAACGGGAACCCCTTCCACCCACCCCTGCTTGGCCCTCGACACCCAGCTCAGGCATCCCCTTCTCTGGGGCTGGCCCAGACCCGTTCTCCTGCTCGTCACGTTTAAAGCCAGAGTCCCCTCAGATCCCTCCTCCCACCTTCCGCACCCCGTCCACGAACAAGCCTCGTTTCATGTCGTGGGGACGGGGCAGGGTTGGCGGGGGGGGGGGGGGGGGGGGGGGGGGGGGGGGGGGGGGGGGGGGGGATAGCTCCTCTCTGGCACCGGTCAGGGGAACCTGCCACGTTCTCGTCCCCAAGTTACTGCAGTTGCCCTGCAGCCAGTTCTCTTTGGTTCTTGCCCCTTCCTTCCTAAGACCAGTTCTGTATTTCTCAGCCAGAAGGGACTTTTCAAAACCTAAATCAGAACACTTCACTCTCGATGCCCTCCCATCTCATTGTGAACTTGTTTCTACCCCTTAACCTTGGCTTTAAAAAAAAGTCCCTAATATAGGATCTGGCTCTTCCCTACCTTGGACCTTGTCGCTTTGATCCAGCCCCCACCACCCCAGCCCTTCTGTTCTCCAAACCCTCCAAGTACATGTCCACGTTCTGACCTTCACATCAGCTGTGCCTCTGCCCAAAGAGCCCCGATGTCTAATCTAGCACCTACCCCCAATCTTTGTCTGGCCAGCTCAGTTTCCTGAATTTGAAGATTTTCCCGACTGTCTAGAGACTCCCTATGGCATCATCTTCACAAGACTTAGAGAGTCCTGTGTCCTTGCTAGAGCCGGGCACGATCTGGCCCATTCTGCTTTATCTCTAGCACTCGGATCGATGCCCAGCCTAGGGTCATCACTCAGCTGCTCGTGGGGAGCAGAGCGCCGGACCTCGGGGTCCTGCCAGGTCGAGCTGGACGCTGAAGCGGGGAGCCCTGCTCTAACCGCCAACATGTGAACGTGCCAGACCCGTTAGCACCTGGGTGTTCTGTGGTCTCAAACATGTGCGTTCTCGAATGGGAAGAGAGTGGGTTGCCCCGGGGTGGGGGTGGGGGGGCGGGGTTTACCTGGAGCCACCTGCCCAGGCGATTGGGGTCCTAAATGGGCAAGTGCCCAACAGCTCTTCTCATCAACTCCCATCCTGTGTTCACAAAACCTTGGACCTGCAGCTCTCTGCCACGGGAGAGAAGCCAACCCTGGGGGAAGCCTTCAAGACTCCGTCACGGCCTCGCTGCCCCAGGGCCAGGGGTGGGGCACCTCTTTCTGGTCAGGAGAGGGCGCCCTCCGACCCGGGTGAGTGAGGCGGCCCTCTCCCTGCCCTCCTGAACTCAGCGAGGATTGCTTACCGCGTCTCAGCTTAGCAGCACTGGCGCATGGTGGTCAGGAACTGTAGCATTGGTCCTCCTGCTCTGGTTCCCTAGGACCCTGTTTTGTCCCTGCTGCAGTGACACCTCAGCGTCTGTGGAGCCCTGCCTGGAGCTCTCTCACTCAGATCACCCAGGAGGCTGGATTTTTCTCCCAAAGCCAGCAGCTCAGCCCCTTGGGAGACCCAGCAGGGTGGTCACATTTTGGCTTATGTTGGTGGGGGGTGGGGTGGGGTGACCTGGGGTCTTAAGCATAGATTGCACAGCAGCGAGCTTAGGACCATGATGGTGTTCCTGGATTGGAATGCTTGATGATCTGGTAGCAGCATTAAAGTCGTTCATTTTGCAGACAGAATCCCTCAGGAGTTGGTATAGCGAGGTCATACTGTTGGAACTGGGTTAGAGTCTCAATTCAGTACTTCTAGAGCCCAAGACTTTGCTTGTTCTTCCTTGCTCCCCAAGGGCGATTTCCTTAGGTCCAACGGACAGGCTGGGCTCGAAGCCCGGCAGTAGCCCCTGGCAAGGCAGGAACAGTCTGTGAGATGTGTGCTGGGGAAGGAGAAGTGTAATCGCCCAGGCGGCTAAGCTGGATCTGCATGTGCACCCACATACCTCCTCTGTAGGAGAGAGTCTAGGAGTGGAGCTTTCAGCAGATATGTAGTGAAACGTCAAGACAAAGAGTAGAGCTTGATCTAGGATCACTGGGATCTGGGGTCTGGGATCTGTAGTCAAGCAAAATCCCATAGCTCTGCTTTTCCCCAGAGGCATTCCTCTGAGGCCCTACTCCGTTACCCAGGAGGCTATCTGCCTCCTCCCTGGGTTTTGAGGAGGTGAGAATCCCCCTAGCCATGGGGAGTGTCACTGAGACACGTGTACCACCTCCAAGATCTCACTCGGCATCTGCCGGGTTACCATTTTCAAATGCCTCGCCGGGACTCTGATTCCTCCTGTCAGGGTTTCTTGACCTTCCTCCTCTGGTTGGCTTGAGGTCAGGACCGTGGTATTCTCAAGCCTAGCCCCTGTGCTTGGGAGGCACAGCTCATGCAGCAGAACCCCCCCCCCACCCCCCAGTTGGTGTTTAGTTCCGTACTGTTCTTCCCTGAACTCCAGTCTTTAGAAATTAGCTGAACCAAAGCCCCTGGTAACCGCCTGGTCCTTAGCGCGGACAGCCGTCCCCGGACATCCCCAGTTCTTTATGTTCTCCCTCCTGGGGCTTCGGCGGTCCGCTGTACCAGACCTGTGGACCGTCACCGGCGGATGGGTACCTTTTCCCTCTGGTAGACCCTTCTCTGCTGGATATTCCATCATTGCTCCTTGGAACCCACCTTAAAAGATGACCTTCTGCCTCCTACCCCCACCCCCCTTCTTGCTTTCCCGTTCATCATTTCTTTGGAGTTTGCTAAGTCCACTCCTTCCGATTGATCACTGATCCTTCGCACCCACCCGTTCAGGGTTCTTGCTGCCACAGCCGCCATCTTGCAAACCGATGGCGTCTCTCTTCCTCGCGGTTCACCCGGTATCCCCATACTCCATAATGCAGGTCTCCACCCTCCTGGCTTTTCATCCAGGCTTCTCTTCCTTGGCGGTTTGCCTTTTTGCTGGGTTCGCGTCGGAAGCGAGTGTTCTGATCACTCAGAAACTCGCTATGGCCTTCTCCTATGCTTACCCCTGCTTCCCTCAACTTCGTGGCAAGCCCGTGTGCCCAGGCCTCCTCACCTGAGCCGCCCAGTTTGGTCGCCAGCTTCCAAAACTGTCAAAGCTTTAAAGCAACAAGTACACCAGGGGTTTCCTAAAACCCGCTTCCATTAACCCATATCACATGAGCGCCACCCATTCCACCTTACTGCAGGCCCAAACTCGAGCACAGTCTCTTCTCTGTGGCCGATGCATCAATATTATGAACCGGTGAGGATGGATGGGATAGGATGATGGAATAGGATGGAATGGGGATGGAATGGATGGGATGGGATGGATGGGGATGAGATGGGATAGGATGGGATGAGGATAGGATGGATGGGATGGAATGGGATGGGATGGAATGGGGATAGAATGAGATGAGAATGAGATAGGAATGGAATGAGATGAGATGAGATAGAATGAATGAGATGAAGATGAATGGAAAGATAGGATAGAATGAGATAGATAGAACCAAGATAAATTCAGAGATGAGATGAGATAGAATCGAGATGGAATCGAATGGAATCGGAATGGAATCGAGATGAATGGAATGGATCGGTCGAATCGGATGTCGAATCGAGATGGAATCGAGATCGGATGGAATGGAATAGAATGGAATGGAATCGGAATCGAGATAGAATCGAATCGAGATAGGATGAATGCGAGTAAATTAGAAGATGGAATGGAATGAGATGATGATGAAATCAAGATGAGAATGGAGTAGAATGGATGAATGGAATGGAAATGAAGTAAGTAGTAAAGTAAAATGCGATGATCCTATTACAAATGCAATTGAAATCGAATCGAATCGAATAGAAATAGAAAGTCTATTCCCCAAATGCGAATCAAGATGAATAGAATAGAATAGAATGGAATGCAGTAGAATAAAGTAGAATAAAGTAAAATAAAATTACGTCGAATAAAGTAGAATAAAAACAAAATGAATGGGTTGGGGGTGGGGAGGTCTACCTTCAGTACACCCCCTGAGTCAACTGCTGTGCTCCCACCCGCTGGCCTGAGCCACTGCTGTGTCCTATGTCCGGCCTGTGCCATTGCAGTGGCTGTATTCGTCCCTGCCTTCTGCTGGGACCCCTGGTTTTCCATATGGCCGGAGCGATCGTACACACAGGACTGTTGATGGTTTCCCATCCGTTTTACCGGCCGGGGTCCTTGGCCCCTTTCTCCCTGTCCTGGCTTCCCCATGGTCAGGCGCGGCCCTCTGCAGGCCAACGAGCACACGAGAAGCGGGTCAGGAGACTTCCAGGCCTCAGCAGCGACAAGTGACAGCTTTGCCTGGGCTTTGTCTCTTCTGCTTTCCTAGAGGATGGAGCTCGGAAGTGCCCGGCAGGCGGGGGAAGGTGTCACCGCGAGACTGAACGGAGCTGGGGCCCGAGAAACCGCGAGAACGCTGTTGCCCTCCTACCCGTGGGCATCCAGGTGGGAGAAAGTGGACTTTAAACCCCCGCATTTGGGGTCTGTCACAGCCCATGAGGCCCTGCTGCCTTGGCCGGGTCCTCTCCTACCTGCTCTCTCCCGGCCCTCCAGGTCCCCTGGCTGTCCCCGGAGCACACGCCTGTCCTTACCTCTCTACGTCCTTCACCCTGCTTGCCAACCCAGGACACCACCTGAAGTCGTGCCGCTGTCTCCCCAGGACGGGGGAGGGACTGTCACATCCACTGCTCTAGCATCATGCGCATTTAAACGGGACTTTTGGTAGGACCGTCCTGGGGAGAGGACTGGACAGTTCGGGCAGAAGGATCTCACTTGGCCGGGGAGAAGTCTGTAGTCCTTTTTACCCCTGTCACCACGCAGACACAGATTATGGAAAGGACAGGACACAGGCACCCAAGGGCCTCTTACCTGCACAGGTAGACCTCTAGAGGCATCTGCGTGCTGGGAATGAAGACGCAAGGGGCCACCCGGAATACCACGGTGTCTTTGTATACCAGGGTCTCTGGAATGGACTGAAACATCAGACACGGTTCCGTCAGTGACCTTGTTCGGAATCCACCCTCCCCCCAGCACCCCTGCAGGCCGCCAGCCGCCCAGCTCAACCCGCCTCCGGCCCTCACCCATCCCCCGCTGCTTTCTCCCAAAGGCGGCAGGAAACCCACGCTCTCCCTTGCCAAACCTGGCCTTCCCCTGTCCCTGCCCACCTTGAGGGAGGTCTACCTTCCCCCAAAGTCCCCGGCGCGGGGGCTGCTGGTCTACACCGGGGGGACGTACCGGGTCTGGAGATTCTTGCACCAGGGAGACGGAGTAGGAAATCAGGCCCGAGAAGTCGGCAGACGGGAATTCCGCAGCTTCAACATAGAAGGTTTCCTTCAGGTGGTTCTCGAGGGGGGCAAAGGTGTAGGTGTGCTGGCCAGGCCCCAGCAGTACCTCAAAGGTGCTCGAGCTGTCTTCTGAGGAGGAGAGAAGGGACAGGCCGGCTGCTGACGTAGCCTAGTGCCGGTCTCCACATCCGACGGTCAGGGTACCGTCTCGTTCCTCTGGTCGGAGGGACAAGGCGCTCCCAGCCCCAGGAGAATGGGAGGCGAGCCGGCTTTTCTGTGCCTGCAGTTCAGGAGGTCGCAAACGAGCATTTGTTTGCGAACGACGGCCCCCCAGACGCTGCTCTCAAAGCCCTGTCACACCTCGAGGGCTGGGGCTCAGAGGAGGATGGCTGTCTTCAAGGCGCTCGGTCCAGGGTAAAGGCTCACGGGAGGTGGTTCTCCCCTTTGACCCCCTTCGGGGAAGATATCCTAAAAAGCCTCAAAGGGGCAAAGGTGAGCCTGGCAGCCTCGTCTGCAAAGTCGGACGCTGCTTAAGTGAGCGCTAGGAAGGCGTCCGTGAGAACGGCCTGTTGGCTGGCCTCCGAGGGTTTCCTAAGAAGCCAAGGAAAGTTCCCATCAGCTGTGTGGAGCCCACCTCCTTCCGGCTTCTCAGGTCGTGAAACAAAAAGCCACGCGCGGAAGAGAGAGAGAGAAGTTGACCGCACCCTGTGGTTGTCTCTGGTTAATTCGATCCCCGATCTGTCCGGCAGGTGCCGGCTGCCTTGGCCTCCGGTTCCAACGTGCCAGCAGAGGGCCGCTGCGGCCACTGCCATCCCCCGGGGCACAGGCACGGCTCCGGCTCACTGGCCTCTCGCTCTGGGTCACGGCACTGCCGTGGCCTGCGTAGGGGCCGTGTTCCTCCAGATGCAGCCCAGCTACTGGTAGGTCTGCAAGAAAACCTTACGGGCACTGACCGCAGCCGCCGGCCCCGGGTGCTCCTGCTTCTCCTGCCGCCGGCCACTTACGGGCTGTGCCGGCCGGACAGCTCGGCTGGGAACGTTCCCGGGGACCCCTGCCTCTCTGGTCCGCCCGAAGGCTCCTTCGCTGACCCGGAACCAGGCCTGGAGGCGGCCAGCCTAGACAGGGTGGGAGGGACCCCCGAAGCTGCCCAGCACAGCCCTTCTGACCGGATGCAGAGGTTCACAGCTGGTGCGCTCGAGCCCCACGGGGTTCCCAACCGCACACACCGGATTGTTCCGGCCACCACGTGGCACCCGACAGCGGCCTCTGCGGGCCCGGCACCTCCCGCTGCACCAGGGCCCTGGGCTCCCCATGGCCGCTGCACCCAAAGGGGACTCCCCACGGAGTGCTGGAGCGAGAGGGTCCACCCTAGGTGCCCGTGGACGCCCACGCACCCTCCTACCCTTTGAGGCAGGTGCTGTGACCGCCACCCTCGTGAGCCGGGTGAGGAGGGAGAAAAGGTGCCTCACGACCCAGACAGGTGCCTTCCTGCCCTGTTCCCACTCCGTTCTCCGCTCCACTACCCTTGACCTCAAGCCACCCCCCCAGCCCCTGCTTGGCCTCTGGCTGTCTCCCCCTAGCAGGCTTCGAGAGCAGGGAGCGAACGCGTCCTTCCAGAGCGAGAGCCCCAGCACGCAGAGTCAACGCTGATCTGAGCTGTGCTTGCTCTGTCTACCTTCCACGTACCACGGGGTCCGTTCTTCGAACCTTCCAGCCCATTTCTTCATCCCGCAAGAATCCTCGTCCCGTGGAAGGACACGCTCGCAGATGAGGCCACCGGCTCCTTCCTTTCCGCGCCCGACTGCCCCCCTCAGCCTCCTCCGTGGACTATTTTAAGCACAGACTCGTCGCCACCACTATAGTGGCCATTGCTGGCCACACCCTAGACCAGCCCATCCAGCCAATCTGCTCTCTCCTTTGACCTCACTGCAAGGAGCCAAGGCTCTGTGCCGCCCCAGATGCCAATCTCCACGCTCACGGCCCGGACATCACCTCCACACAGCTCGTTGGCACCTTCCTGTCTTTTTAGCTCACCTAGACCCCGACCTCTGCAATCCTTCAGCCCAGCCCCCACCCTGCCTACCGCCGATTCCTCTTTTCACCCCCCCCACACACACATTCCGGGAACCATGGCTAAACCCACTCCCTTGCACACGCCATCCGCTCCCACACCAAGACCTCAACTCTGGTTAAGCCAGATCCATCAAGCTCTCTTGGGGGCGCCTGGGTGACTCCGTCGGTTAAGCACCTGACTCTCGATTCCTGTCTCTCCCTCTCTCTCTGCCCCTCCCTCTGCTTGCACTCTTCTCGTGCTCAAAAATAAAGAGAAAAATAAAGCTCTCTTGCATCCACGCAGCCAGAGGAGCCACCATGCTGAAAAGACCCCCCCCCCCCCCCCCCCATTGGGAGAGGACCAAACCTCCGAGTCACCCTGGACGCTACCCACTAGACACTGGTGTCCCCCTCCCGTCCAGGAGGGCTCCCGATTCTCATAGTCTCATCCTTAGATGCGCTCCCTCCCCTCCGCTGGGTCAGTGCTACCCGCACGGGTGTGCCGCGTTCTACCGTCTTCAGACATCCCCCCCAACCCCAGCCTCCCAGTCACTACCTCCACAAGGTCCCCTTTATGGCGGAGTCCTCGGCCGTAGACCCACGGCCTGCCCACTTTGCCGTGGCTCCTGGCCCCACGGCTCTTAGCAGATCGCGAATGACAGTCGTTTTGAAAACAGATTTTTTTGTACCATCGATTTGATCAGCGACACCATCAGCCATGGTGGATCATGGCCCCCACGCAAGGCTTCCTTCCCTTGGTTTCTAGAACTTCAGCTCTGGCTGTTGATTTACTCCAGAAGTTCCTCCTCGGACTCCTTTGCTCTAGCGTATAGAGAGCGAGCCGTGGTTCTCCCACTGGAGCCTGCTGCAGAATCCCCTAAGGGTTTGTGAAAACGCCGCATGCTGGGTACCCCTGCCCGGTAGGTTTTAAATGCATTTTTAAAAAACTGAGCTCCGCTCCAAGGGTGGGGCTCAGACTCGCAACCCCGCAATCACGAGTCACACGCTCCACTGACTGAGCCAGCCTCACGCCCGGTTCCCCTGGATTCGTGAATGCTTTAAAAACAAAACAAAACCCCTTCATCTCTTCCCCCGACCTGGGGCTCCAACGCCTGACCACAAGATCCAGGGTCCTATGCTCTACCAACCTGGCCAGCCAGGCGTCCTTTGACAACCAAACAGAAACTTCAGTAAGACCCTGACAGCCTGACACAGAGGATGGAGTCCGTCTCCTCGGGCTAGACAGATCGCTGCCTCCATCATCCACACGCGGCGGGCAGCCCCGGGCAGAGCAGTCCTCATGGCCCAAACCAGGCTTACACCCACGGGTCTACGGCTCACTCCCAGCCCACGCGGGGAAGGACCGCGTACAACCGACGTGGGCGGCCTTTCCTGGCCGGTCCCACGCCACTTCCAAGTTCAGCTGCAGTCTACAGAAGAGACGGAGCAGAAGACCGAGCCAGGGCCCCTGCGCGCAGGGGAGGAAGCGGCCGAGACCTGCTCTCCAGAGCCGGACGCCGAGGGATGGACGTGGTACAGTCACCCAGCCGAGCGAAACTTGGCTTTAAGAGAAGGAAACACACCGGAACAGGCCTCCAGAAGCAGCGTTAAACCTCAGCTTGAGGAAGCTGGAGGCACGGAATGCCAAACCGGTGTAGGTAGACCAGAAGGCTGGTTTGTTCTAGGAGGTCCTGCTGGAGGTGGACGCGTCCCCTTTTTAAGCGACAGCCTGTGTGCCTTTACCTATGGGCCAGGGATGTGCCACCCGCCTTCCAGGCTGCAAGGGCTCCCGCTGGGCGGGGTGGGGCGTGGTGCCTGGGGCGAACATGCTAGCACATGCTACTCCGCTCCTTGGGCTCTGAGTTCTGGAAACTTCATACGGTGGGCTCTTGGAAGAGGAGGGAAGACAGACTCTTCCGGAAGAAGTAGCTGGGGGAAGAGCTTATCTGATCTGAGGACGTTGGGCGAGTACGCGTTGCTCCCCTCCAGCTGTGGAAACCCCATGGGGTGGGCACTATCGTCACCCCTACTGGGGGAAGGTGGCTTGGGGGCCACGTGGGTGATCCACCCACGTGTACAGACTTAGTCTTTGGAAATGGCAGCCAGAGAGTCCCCGGGACACACGTGTGGCCACACCAGGCCCCGACCAGCAGCCCTAGGTCCCAGCAGGCCTGCTGGCAGCGACGTGGCCGCGGCTGCCCCCGGCACGCTGGAGGCATGCGCGAAGCCAGAGCTGGTGCCAGAACACTCACTTTGGGGCCGGTAGACTCTTGCCTTCTCTGCCTCTTCCTTGGAGGTGTGGAGAACCAGCCGGTATTTCTTTAAAGTGCAGCTGGGCCCTTGAACATTCAGGGTCATCTGGGACAGACTCTTGATCTCTGGGCAAAAGACAAGGTAAGAGGTGGAGGGGCCTCTGCAGGCCAGCGCTCCAGAGGCGGAGGGAGGCGCGGTAAGGCCCACGGTCGGGGCTTGTGGATCGGAGCGCTGGGGACCTCGGGGCTCCCGCTCTGGCCCGGGCCTGCCGTAGGTCTCGGCTACTTGCTCCCCGCGTGGCCACAGGCAATCGGCCAGCCTTGGGGTCCGCTTTGAGTTAGGACAGCATTCACCCCACGTGGTTGGGGGGGAGTGCACGGCCCCCGTAAACACCAAGAATAGGGCCTGGCACAGCCAGTTCCGTGTGGGTTCCCCTCCAGCCTTGGTGAGAGCCAGGGCACCCCTTTATACCGCCAAGACCTAGAACGTTGGCCCCGACCCCAGGTGAGGACCAGGTCCAAGACTGCTTTTGCCTAAGGCAGAAGGGATCCTGCCACAGGTCACAAGAGGGTTTTTAGGGAGATGCTCGCATACCCCTCGTGTGTGTTTACTTAGACTCAACTACTTCGTGAAGCCAGCTGGATCATCCCCATTTTACAGATAGGGAGAATGAGACCAGGGAAGTTAACACACTCAAGTCTGTGGCCAGGAAATAGCAGTTTGTTATCCAGTATCAGGACCCACGGGGCCAGGTGGCCTCTTTCCTCCTCGCTACAAACTTCAAGCCTCTGACAAGTCGAGACTTTAGGCGCAGGGCGTCTGGGTGGCTCAGTTAAGCATCCTGATGGGCTCAAGTCGCGATCTCCTGGTTCGTGAGTTCAAGCCCCGTGTCGGGCTCTATGTGGAGGTCTCAGCGCCTGGAGCCTATTACAGATTCTGTGTCTCCCTCTCTCTCTCCGCCCCTTCCCTGCTTGTGCCCTCGCTCTCAAGAATAAACATTAAAAGAGAGACAGACAGACAGACACGGTTTAGGCTCAGAGGGGGACCTCAACCTAGAATCTGCGTTTGCTGAGGGCTGTGGCAATGAAACCCCAGGGAAAGCTGGGTGCCACGAAGCAAAGGTGGCAGGGGTCCCAGGACAGCGAGAGGCCAGTTCTTACCCTCGGGAAAGAACACCTTCGTGGTCTTCTTGTCCATGCTCTGGCCCTTGTCGGTAGGGCTGCAGTTCACAAGCAGGATGGCGCCCCAGCCACTGGGTCCCCAGACCCAGTTTTTCTGCAAACGTAACAGGAATGCTGATTCAGGAGGAAGCCGGGTAAATCCTGCTTCCCAAACACGCCCCCACACATCAGGAGCAGAGCCAAGACTTTCTCCAGGGGGACAGGGACCTCTTTGCCAACGCAAGTGCCTAATAGGAGAGGGTGAGGTCAGGGGAGCGAGTCAAGAGGGAGGGAGGAAGCTGGATGTGGGTCACAGCTCCCCTCCTGGTCTCAGTGCCGGGGGAGCAGGGATACAGGCAAATGAGAGGAGAAGCGTCCCATGCAGAAGGGCCGGTCCCGGGTAACCGCACAACCAGGCTAGGATGGGGGGCCAGCGTCCCCAGACGTTTTCGTTTTGGGGGCAGAGCTAGAAATGGACGGGATCAGCTCTGACTGTATTGCAGGAACGGGACTTCAGAGGCGTTAGGAAATCCAGAGAGAGTCTGTGGGCCCACGCCCTTCCCCGGGCAGCCTCACCTTAGCCTCCTTGTCACTGGCCACCTCGACTTGCCCGCTGCGGTAGATGTCCACGTCTAGGGAGACCACTGAAACGAGAGGGAAATTCACCACCACCCCCTAGACCTGCCGGATGGAGCCTCGAGGCGGTAGGTGATCCCAGCGCTGCCCGAAGCTGGGGCCAGGGGTCAGGGATGCCCCACCTCCCGGGCATGCTGCCAGCTTCGAAGAAGAAAGCTCCTCAGAGGCCGACCGCCTCCCGTGAGCAAGCCTGGAGAGGACCGGTATCTGGGCGTCTCCCCCAACCTCCCGGCAACCCCCAGAACGATTCCACCGTGGTCCTGATGCGATCTCGCACCACTTGGCCTCTACCCGGGTGACGCCTACCTAGAGGGCCCGCTCTCCAGCCTTCTGGAAAGCTCTTGGCACTCTCAGACTTAGGAAAGGCTCCATACGTGGCGATTCCAAGCCTCTCAGAACTTCAAGATCCAGGCTCTGCCCAAAGATCACCACCGAGGCTCCTCGTACAGTTTCTACGTTCTCCACCTTCTACGCCTCCCGCCACACACTGGCCACCGTGTGCCTTTACCCTGGCTGTTTTTATTCATAGCTCCCATCTGATGTGCTAGGTCCCGGCCAGAACGTCAGGGCCACGAAAACAGACCACGATGGCCGCATACACTTAGCGCCTGGTATGGATGCTCAGGGACCAGATACTAAGAACCTCGTCATCTTCAGCCTTAGGGAAGAGTGTGTGAGCGTGCGCGCCCACACCCCCGCCCCCGGCAAGGGGTGAAGACGGAAGTAAAATGCACATCCTGCCCGATGGTAGAAACGCCATAGGAAACAGGGGAGCAGGTGGAGGGATAGGTTTTAGTTTTAGGTCATCAGAGGAGTCTCCCAAATTGAAACGTGAACAGAGGCCTGAAGGAGGCATAAAAGTGATCAGTGTCCATATTTAGGGGAAAGCAATTAGAAGAGGAAGTGCCAAGCGGCAAGGTCAAAAGTCAAGCGGCCAGGGTGCTCTGGGCACCCACAAGACCTGGGTGGCAGGGAGGCCAGCTCTGACCCGGGTACGCAGAAGCAACAGAAGGCTCTGATCCACGGAGACCTTATCAGATAGCCTTCTGGAGACGCACCGCTCTGGGGGCCAGGTCAGGGGTGGACCTGTAGAATGGCAAGGATGAGGCAGGGAACCCACGCAGGGACGCAAGCAAGAGGGTGGCGGCTTGGACCAGCCAACAACATCCAAGTGGCCTGTGGCCGGATTCCAGCCAGCTTTGAGGAAACGGGAGCAAGGTACGGGGATTGACGTGGGCAGAGGGGAGAAGGAAGGGGGACATCCAGGGTTGGGGCCTGACCAGCTAGAAGCACGGACCATGGTCCACAGTGACGGGAAGACCGTCAGCAAGGTAGGCACTGGAGGGAGAGAGAACCAGTTCAGTTGGGGTCCTCCTACCCCACCATCTTCCCCGGAAGTAGAACCAGTTCCATTTGGGATAGATTGAGTTGGAGACCTTGGTTAGACACTCAGGAAGGAACACTGGGTCAGCAGATACAGGGGTCAAGTTGGCGGGAGATGCCTGGCTGGAAGAGTTTGGGGGGGGGG